TGCTAATGGCCCCCTCTGCCTCCCCCATGGGCTGTGCTTGGCCCCAACCATAGTTAGTCCATTCCATAGGCTCTCCCAGGGCATGCCCCTTGAGGATTGTGGGAATTTGAGGCTTCCATTTGTGCGACACAAGAACCAAGAACACCTTAGTAATGCTTCAGTCTGAACTTCTATTCTTTTTTTCCACACTGCTCTACAGTCTATTAGATGATTCCCAATTTAGTGCAGACAAGACTCCAAAGGTCCCTAATGTGTCAGCTTCCTGAAACATTTGCCTCTTTTGCTCACATACCACTCTCTGCTTCTGTTGCTTTTGGATCTGCATTTTTCAAGTTTCTCAGGACTGGAAGGATGGCTTTTATATTTTCCTTTTTGTCATCATATCTTATATGCAGCATAATCAGCAAGCCCAGTACCTGGTGGTCACAGGTAGAAAGAATCTACTCCCTGAACTATCATTATGGATGCAGTTTCTCATTGCTGTCATTAACATAGGACTGTGATCCTGGGACAACCAGTCCTTTTCATTTCTTCTATGTCAATCCTAATCTTCTTTTCAGCTCATATGATGTTGTCCCTTAATTCACACAACACACACACACACACACACACACACACACACTCACTCACCCACCAAGAAGATGTTGGAGAACAGATGAAGTGCATGGAAAGAAAAATGATAAAACACTTTTTTTTTTTTCAAAAAGGAAATCATTCTATTGTTAAGAGTTTGCCTTGCATATCTTAGTATTATTTCAGAAAGATCTTAGTAACGAGCTAGCTTGGTCAGCATGCTAATCCCCTGCTCCATCTCCATTTTTTCCTCTTTTATTATTCTCACCGACTACATCTTATGTTATTTTTCATATTCACAGCCAAATCTGTACCACTTCCCTTCAACTTCCAAAAACTAGAATGCCTGCCAATTTTCTTATTTTAAGCTTTCTAGTCTTTGCTTCCACCATCATGGGATTGCTAATTCAGCCCCTTGATCCTGCTTATTTGTAGCCATCTCTTTTAAATAATCCTTGGTCTTGCCCTTCCTTTCCAATCCCCAAATATTATTCCATGGAAAGAACTACTACCAGTGGATAAACTCAACCATTATCCCTTCACAGAGTTTTTCCTACTGTTAAGAAATCCTACAGTAATTGCAATCAGAACTCTCAGATGTGGGTGACTCTTTTGATGCTATCACTGATGTAGGAAAAATGTTTTTGGCAAACTCTTTCACTAATAAGAGGAACATAGAAGAGATATTTACTTTCTACCATTGTGAATGGAAGAGCAGGAGTAGACAAGGGTGTTTCCTTTAGTCATAAGGATTATAACTTCTGTTTCATCACTGGAGCTCTTCTAACACATGGCAATGCATGAAGGATAGTTTTTGGTAGTTAATTTGATCCTGCAGCACCATTTGGAATATGATGACTTGAAAAGTATGCTTGCGAACAAACTTTGGGGGTATGACCTTGCTATAGAGTTAATCATATGCCCTTTAAATTCATATGTTGAAGCTCATAACCTTAATATTATTGTATTTGATAGGATTTTAGGAAGTAGGTTAAATAACGTCATAAAGATCCTAGTGCAAGAGGAACCCAAACACAAGGCCATGTGAGGACATAGTAGAAAGGCAGCCATCTTCAAGCCAAGAAGAGACTCTCCCCAGAAACCAGCTCAGGCAGCATTGCTCTTGAACGAACAGCCTCCAAAATTGTGAGAAGTAGATTGCTGTTGTAGAAGCTGCCTAGTCAATGATATTTTATATAGCAACCTGAACTAAGACAAACCTGTTCATAAACCCAAAATTCAATATAATGACCCATTTTGATCAGATTATGTCCACCAAACTTGACAGTTATTGAAATTTATTTATAAACTAAATGTATATAAAATATAGGTTGAAGTAGAATTTAGATAAATATTCTTTATGTGTAAGTAAATGAATGAATGATAAATTCTGTAGGTTCCTAAAGAGAATCCAGTCAGAGATTAAACTACTAAACTTTGGCTAAAGACCAAAACCTCAAGTATGCATTGATTTCCTATGTGCCCAACACTTCTTGAGAACAATAACTATATCTTTATTTAAAAAAAAAAACTTCACTCATAGTAGTAGTATGGAGGCTAGCTGAATTGAAACAAAAACTTTCTTGACTGGTGATTTATACACCAAAATTAATGACAATCATCTGGAGTGTTAGCTCTACAAGAATACTTTCAGGAAGACAAGTATGGACAGGCAGGATATCACATAAATTTTTTGTAGCTACTATTGTTCTTAGCTGCTGGAACATTTTTCTAATAAAGTATAGTATTAATATTTTTTGGAAGGAAATTGTGTTAGGTTTCTGTTGCCGTGGCCAAAATACCTGGAGAGAACAACTTAGAGGAGAAAAACGTGTATTTTGGCTCATGGTCGCAGAGGGTTAGTTCATGATGGGCTGACTCTGTTGTTCTGGTCCCATGGGGAGATAGAAATCATGGTGGAAGGGTGTGGTGGTAGAGTTCTGCTCACCTCAAGGGGCAGGGAAGCGTAGAGAAAAAGGGGAAGAGATTATAGGGAAAATGAATTCTTCCAGGACACAGTCCCAGTGACCCTTCTCTTCCAGCCACACCCACCTGACTACCCAACCAGTCCCTTCAAATTAGGATGGACTTATTAGATTACAGCTCTCACAATCTATTCATTTTTACCTTTAGAGGACATCCCATATTTAAASCCTAACAGAAATTCTTCTGTACTGTTTTTAGAAATAGAAGAAGAAAGAAAATTTATATTATAAATGTAATATAAATATATTATATTCAAAAGTGGAAAGGGGTTTAGAATTATATTTGGCTTGGGGTTACCCAATAAGTCTTTTGGAATTTAGTGATTTGTTTTGTCTTCCCAGTAATTTAACATCTGGTGAGTCCAGGCATTTGTGTCGCAGTGTAGGTCTGCAATGATATGCAAAACCATCCATATCATGTACATTTGGGTTTTGACTTTTTCAATTGACACAGCAAGATTGATCCACATGAATCCCAAATAAGTATGTACTTACATTGGTTCAGGAAAACTTTTGATTTGAAGGAAAATGGTTAGCATCTAGTGTCCACTTGAGTGATTCCTTCACTCTTGAGTGAGCAGTGAAGACTATGACACAAGCCGAATGTTTTTAGAAAGCCCAGGTTTCTTCAGGGGTGTGGTAAAGGGCTTGTGCTGACAGGGCCTAAGGTTATGTGAGGGTTTAGAACCAGCAGAGTATGGTGCAGACTGTTATGCTCAGTAGATGGTTTCTAGAACTCCACCGAGTGCCAAGCATTTCAAAATGGGGACAAAAGTAGACAAAATAAAAGTAGCTAACCTTTGCTTATCACTTACTCATTTTAATCCTGACCGACGTCGTATGCACATGGTACTTTTTAAAAAAGTTGTCATTTTCACAGGCAAGGGAACCAGGGCACAGAGATATTAATTAACTTCTCTGTGTCATTTAGGTGTAATGATCAAGCCACTATTTTTGTCTCTTACAGATTGATTCCAGAGACTTCTCTTTTGACTACTTTTTAGAAATCTTAATTATCTACTTACTTATATATTCAAGGCTCTTTGTCATTATTTATTTACTTATGGTTCTCATTTACTATTTATTTATTCATTGTTCTTAACAACATTTAAGATGAGAAGAACTGCATGAGAAAAAGAGACAGCAAGACAGCGTGAACATACTCAGAAAACTGCTTAGTAATTTGTAAATATATGTTACTTTTATTTATTGTATTTCTTCCATGTGATTAGGCCTCTTGAATCTAATTCTCATTTTTTGATGTAAAACTTTTGTTTTTTCTCTCATTTGGGGAGGCTTAACATTCACAAACATCGTATTTCATTTTCTAGTGCTTCACATGATACATGCATCCTAAAATTGGTGCTGTCTTCCATCTGATACTTCTATTTATTACATTAGAAATACCTTATACATAAAATATGCAATATATAATAATTATAAACCCCTACCTTTGCACTTTTCATTATATATATATATATGTATAAAATTTCATATATATATAAAATTTCATATATAAAAAAATTTCATATCACATGCATGAGAAGATTCCCAATTTATAAAGGGGAATCCAGAATATTGGGGTAGTCTTTTTTTTTAACCTGTATTTCACTTATTTTTTTAATGTGGTACTGAGGATCGAACCCAGAGTCTTGCATATGCGAGGCGAGCACTCTACAGCTGAGCCACAACCCCAGCCCCTGGGGTAGTCTTTTTTGACAATGGTACTCTCTACTATAGGAGGAACTATGCATTTTACTGACCTATCTACTTTTAATGAAAGCAGTGTACAGTGAATCCAGCCAACTGTACTAAATGTTAGAAATCTTAGGCTTCTCCTTTGAAAATCACATTGTGCCTTGCACTACTGTGAGGGTTTTAAGGGTGAGGACCACAGGTTTCTTCCATTGATTCAGAACCTGAGCTGCGGTTGCTACTTCCTACTCACCAACTGCTACTGCTACCTGCCTAAAAATTGTCTTTGGCTCCCTGTAAACCTGCAGTCAGAAAGGTATTTGAATTTTCCCCCTCCAGCACTTGCAAATCCGATTTTTATGTATAACTAAGTGCTCTTAGTTTTTACTCTATCTACTACTGGGGCCTGGTTTCTACCAGGCCTATAACTAAGCCAGATCCGGCCTATGTAATGCTGTTTGTAATGAGAAATCTAAACAGGGAATGGCAGTGAGGCATGGCAGGAATGTGTTTCCATTGGAGAAGTCAGTGTAGAGAAAAAGTATAAGCAAAGCCATGTCCAGAAGGCCCTCTCAGCTGGCCAAGACGGAAGACTAATGTTATTGTACATAGGCAGTTACCCTGCCAGCCCTTCCTCACAGATTTGCTTTCTCTCTGTTGCCCTCCTGCCCCCTCCCTCCTTCATCTCTCCCTTCTCTTTCATTTTCTTCTCTCTTTCTACGGACTCCTTGCTGGCTGTTTGCTCAGGTGGACAGTGACACCATTTGGAACGAGCTGCACTCGTCCGGTGCTGCACGCATGGCTGTTGGCTGTGTCATCGAGCTGGCTTCCAGAGTGGCCTCAGGAGAGCTGAAGGTGAGGTCTGGGTTGCATTAAGTGTGGGAAATCCAGAAAAGAAGCTGAAACTGAGATGTTGTTGTTTGGGAATTGTGGGGACTGTGGTGTGGTAATAAAAGGAAGGAGGTGGAGGGTGGAGGGCGGGGAGATGGCCACTAAGGTGTGATAATAAACTCCTCTGTAGGTAGACAGCAGCTGATCCTGCTCTTGGGGCCTTCCTCTCCTGGAGTATATTCTGTGGTCAGGGCACACTGGTATGTTTTTAAGAGCGTAGAAATGGTGAGTAAAGTCATGGTCTAGGTTAAAAATACCCTTAGTGTATACATATCTGTCATGCCATCCTGGGATTCTTTTTTGAAACAATTTTAAAAATATGATTACTGAGTAGTATGTATAAGCTCAGAATACCACCCAGAGAGAGGAGGGGGGAGAAAGGTAAATACCAGACGGGAAGGATTGGGAGGAAGAAGGAAATTGTTGATTAGGAGGGTAATGATCCAGAGTATGTTTTTCCATGAAAGAACTTCAAAAATGAGCTATGCTTTATTGTTCTTTTCTTTTTATGGTCTCTTCTTTTCTACATCATATGAAACGAACAATGTCTAAACCCCAACGTTTCCCAGTCTAAACAATTTATAAAAGCCAGAGACCTGACAGACGTTGACATTTTATTTGGTATTTTAACAGTGCTATTTAAAGGTATGCCATGTGTGCCTTGAATGCAGTTACCCCAATAAACTTTGTTGGTGCTAACACAGCTTTATAATGCACTAGTTCACACACTTCATAACCCAATCTTGGATGGTGATTGATCCGGTATTTTTAGCAATTGTGGGGCTTAAGGGAAATATATTATGACCAAGAACACATGCGTTGTGAGTTTTGTTAATCTAAGGTAAAAATCTAATTAGGATATTTTTCTTTATGTGTAATGAATTTTTATTCAATTACACCTGATTCTTCCTTCTACTTAGGTTTTAAAATGTAGGACTGGAATGCACACTTTACAATGCATCATCTGTCCCAGAAGTCACAATCTGCAGAAATAAAATTTTGATGAGATGGGCTGTATTAACAACAATAACAAAAAAGAGCTGCCTCTGTAAATTCAACATGATCAGTGTGAGGACGCTAACTGCTCATCTTGGGGGTTTTTGGAGCCATTAACCTGGTAGTTAGTATTCAGGCTTTACCTTTAGTAATGAGAAGTTAAAAAGTGGAAGGGAATCAGCTCCATGGGCAGGTTTTGACTATCTCCCAGTAGCACTTTAAGAATAATTCTTCCTGTGAGTAATGTTATATACTATAATAAGTTGGCATTTTAAAAGAAGAACATTTGAGGGCCTTATTTTCAGGAGAATTCAAATTACAGACAATAACCAGAACACAAAATTATAATGTTTCATATTAAGCTGGCATAATCCCACATGATTATATTAGCATTCAAAATTCTAATTGTTTTAAGTTTATGGAAGTTTAAGCAATAATTCAGAAACCTTTTCAAGTAGAATACCCGCATAATATTTACATTAATCAAAATCATCATTAGCCTCATTGTGTGGAATGGACAGATTTATATACCAAAAACAAAACTGAATTCCACCTTTTTAGCAGGTAAGTATTTAAAATGGCCATTTACAAACTAAGTATCAACAAAATATAATATGGACATGCTGATCACCAGCTGTACCAATGCTGGCTCTTTATGTTAAGAAGAAGGATTTGTAGAAATGGTTTATCTCTCTCTAGTTAAGGAATCAGCAAATGTGGTTAAAAGGGAAAGGAAAGAACCAGTTTAAGAGTCAAGAAATTTTGGTCCACAGTACCTCTTAAATACTGTGCCATTTTTGACAAATCATGTAACTTCTTTTGGCTTCAGTTTCCTGTTCTGCAAATTCATCAAGTGAAATTGATAATGTTGAAAGTTGTCTGTGTCATGAACTCTAGCTATTTGCGAATGAAAAGTGATCAGAGAGTCTCAATTATGCACACTGAGACATATCAAATAGTGGGTATTCCAAAATGAAGTCCAGCATGTTTTGATGAAATCCAAGATTTTTGAGTTGAATTACCTTTCTGGTTGTCGAGATCAGAGTAAAAATCTAACACAGCAGGACCATACCAGAGGCACTGGTACCTATCCTGATGGGCCAAGACAAAACACATACTTTGTGGAGAGTTTGGGTAGGCCACTGTGGGAAGGGTAGAAATCACAGATGATTTGGAGCCAGTGAAGAACCCAAAATAACTTAGGTAGAGGGCCATGTTTGGGGACCCCTATTCAACCCCGTCTACCTGCCAATGTCTACCTGTTTCAGATGCCAGTGCACAGGTGGAGTACCTGTTGGCCAGGTACACTATTACTCATCACTTCATTCAGATCTCAGAAGGACATAGGGATGCTTATTTGAGGATGCTGATAAGTAACCCTCTGCTAAGTATATAAAAAAAGCATTTAGTTTTTCATATTTTGCATCTGCATCCAATTCTCATATGCTCTACCCCGTTCTTCCTGTAAATCAATACTGTAATGAAATGTCATTGTCATATTATAATAGTGCTTCTTTGGAGATTGTTCTAATTTTTTTAATTGAAAAGAATTAAGATCCATATTTCAAATAAGGTGAGCTTGGGTGGGGTGCTGTCTTGAGAGATGTAGGATAGCTAGGGAGAGGTCACTGAACTCATGAAGGATGCAACCCTAGAAGATTAGAAACAGAAATATGGAGCAGAAATAATATGTAAAAGGCGAATAGTCTTTCAACTTATAAATAAAAGTTGGTTCAATATTTATTTATTTATTTATTTTTATTTACAAAGAAAGGAAAATGACAAATACAATTACTTAGAACTTTTGCTTGATGCTGGACTGACCATGACCATCCTCCACATGTCTGACAGACTCTTGTTCTTTCTTCACCTGGGAATACTAAAGAATTAGAAGAATGAGATAAGCAATGAGGCGGGTTTCATGTTGACAGTTAAATATAACATAATGCAGCAAACTAGAGCAGTAAATCAGCATACTTTTGGCACAGAATGGAAATTCTCAGTGAAGTTCAGTAGAAATTATGGGAACTTTCAAGGTTTCTAGGTTTTTACAATTTATTAATACACACACACACACACACACACACACACACAAGCACATGAATGCAGGTGGAATAATTCCTTAAATCTACAGATGCCTCATTTAGCTGTTTCTCAAATTCTGGTATCCAGAAGCACAAATATTCTGAAAATGCTGAATTTTTCCATATATGGGAAAAATAGATATCTTAAAATACTTGCTTTGTGTGTTTTATGACATTTTAGAAAGTACATATGGAACAGAAATAATCTCTAAAAGGTGAACACTCTTTCAACTTATAAATAAAAATTGGTTCAATATTTATGAAGATTTATTGTAAAACTTCAATTTGGTGCTATTTTTAAGATGTTAAAGTCTGTAAAAGGAAGTTAAAATTGCTTTAGCTCTCTGTACATTTTGCCAAACAAAACAAAACAACTTTCCCCCAAAACATACAAAAACCACAAGACACCTAGCTATCTGAATGATGGATAGATTTCTTTAATGTTCAAGTGGAAATTGTGATGTCATGTTGCTAATAACACCTGCTCCTCATTGTATACCTGCTGTGGGTTGGGCAGTGAATATGTAACTTGTAACATTCTTACAATGTTCTCTTCAAGTAAAGGCCACAAACAGAATACTGGCTGAAGACATGAAGTGACCTTTTCAGATCCTGCATATAGGATGATAAATCAGAAGTCTATAAATCTCATAATCCTCTGTTTACTTACAGCCACTACATCAGGATTTTTGTGTTCAGGTAGCTCAAATATAATAAGAATAAATAGGATTAAAATCATCTGTTTTAAATAGTCTATAACCTTTCTTTTTAGTGTTATAAAATGTTCAATCGGTACAAAAAGACAAGTTACTTAAATCACAAAACATTATAATAAATAAATACCTATGAAATCTTCATCCAACTTAAGAAATAGAATTTTGCTCACACTCTTAATGTTATCTCAGTATTTATGCCTACCTTTCTGAACCACAGATAGCTATTAATCTATTGAATTTTAAAAATTATTCCTTTTCATTTTTTTTACTGCTTTTGAACTTGTTTTCTGTTTTTATAAAAATGGAGTATTTGTATTATTTTTCAGCTTTCTTTTCCCCTTTAAAATTGTTATGGGGATTTGTCCTCATGGATATACATTTATGATTCATTTGTTTTCATTGCTATAAAATATTCCCCTTGTCAATCAGAATTTGTTTATTCAGTCTTTTGTTGGACATTTTAATTGCTTCTAGCATTTTTGTCTTTGAACAGTGCTCCATGAACACTCTAACATGCCTGCTCTTCTACTCTGCTATAACTAAAATAATTGGCTACTAGGCTAGCCATATAACATATTTCAGTAAGTAATGCCACATGGAATTCCAAAATAATTTTCCCACAATGACATCTTTATAAATGGTAGCCTAACCCTCTGATAATTCTCTCCTCCATAAAAGCAATGACAAAACTGGCAAAAGTTGTAAGGATGATTTTTTTCTTCAAAAATCTGGAAATTAATGAAAGGCCCACAACAACTCAGTAAGTGCATTTCAGAAAACAAACTGATTGAATGTTAACATGAACAATGAGCTTTGTGGTGGTTTAAATCACCCTGTTCCTGTCTTTCCCTTTACAGTACCACAGTAAACTTAATAAATAACAGTCTGCATTCTCAGTGAAAACCAGTAATTTGGTAGTCTCCGAGGGGATATAATGAGATTGGAGCATCTTCAAAGTCTCATTTCTAAAGAATTGTCATTATCTGTCCTGTCTGGTGCTCCTTGCAAGACCCACTTGCAAGACTGTCTTTATTTGATGGTGGGGTTCATGCAGAAGCACTTGTTGAAAAAAATAAATGTAATTGATAAACTTTGCCTGAGGTGGTGGATAACAGTGGGGTAAATAGTGGACAACCAAAAGCTTCAGTGGAAAAACTTAAGAATGAGA